AGCACCCCCAGGCCCTTTCCCGCCGGGCAGCTCCCAGCCGCTCCTCCCCACGCCTGCAGCGGTGCCTGGGGTTGCTGTGCCCCCAGTGCAGGACCCGGCCCTGAGCCTTGCTGACCCTCACCCAGTGCCTGGGCCCATCGACCCAGCCTGGCCAGGGCCCTCTGCAGAGCCTCCCTGCCCCCCAGCAGATCAACGCTCCCGCCCGACTGGGTGTCCTCTGCAAACTGACTGAGGGTGCCCTCGATCCCCTCATCCAGATCATTGCAGTACCGAGACTTTAGTACCAAACCCTCTGGCCCTGCCTCAGCCCTGCACGCCCAGGCTGGCCCTGTGCGCCCTCACACCCCACAGGCTCCAGGCTGGAGCAGGGGCCTGCTGAGCCCCCGCTGGGTCCCTGCCTCGATCCCACAGCCAGCGGGGATATTGTGCGTTGACTGAGGGCTCATGGAGGCAGATCACCCCGCCCTGAAGCCGGCTGGGCCCTAGGCCGCCCGCCCTGCCCTCCATCCCCGCTCCCCCTCACAGCGCTGACATGGCGGCCACAAGGCGGTACCCGGCGGGCCACACTCAAGATGGCCGCCGCACCACGCCGGGGCGGGGTCAGACATATGGCACTCAGCACAGCGAGTCCAAGCAGGCCACACTTCACATGGCCGCCGCGCCTTGCCTCGATGGACGCGGCGGAAAGCCAATCAGCGAGCGAGGAAGGAGGGCGCGGAGGGCGGGCCGCGGCTAGCGGGGTGCGTGGTGCTGGGTGCAGGGTTGGGTGCGCCGAGCGGTTGCTGCCACGTCGCGCTGCTCCGTGGGGCGGCACTGGCGGGACGCAGCAGGGGCAGGGTGTCCTCCATTGCCACCTCCCCCCCCTCCTTCAGGGGACCGGGGCCCTGCGAGCACCGGGGGTTGTCCAAAAATTATCCCCCCAAAGGGAAGCCCCGGTGGGCGGAACGCGAGGCGGGAGCCGCGGGCGGCGGGGACCCGGGCGGGGGTGCACCGAGGAGCGGTGGGGGGACGCTTTGAGCGACGGACGCGGCTCCGTCTGAGGCGTAGGGATGATCGCGGCCCTGCCGAAGGTACCGGCGGGTCGTGAGGGGCACGGGGCCCGGTACCGGTACCGGGGGAGGACGGGGAGCGGGGAGACGACAGGCCCGGCCCTGGGGGAGGGAAGGGGAGGGACAGGCCTGGTTCTGGGGACAGGAGGGTCAGGCCCAGCCCTGCTATTGGGGAGGGACAGGCCCGACCCGGCCCTGGGACTAGATTTGGGGGGGATTGTGTCTCTCGGGGGTGCCCTGGCTCGCCTACCCTGGTGTACCTGGGCCAGGTACCTGCAGGGTCCTGCACCTGGGTGGGGGCAACCCCCAGTGTCCGTACAGGCTGGGGGATGAAGGGATGGAGAGCAGCCCTGAGGAGAAGGACTTGGGGGTGCTGGGGGATGAAAAGTTGGCCGCCGCCCTTCCCTGCCCGGGGCAGGTTTGGCCCACGGCTGCCCGGCGGGATGAGTGCCCCGGCCAGACCAGGGAACGCTGGGAACAGCACCTGCTCCTCCTTCCCCAAAATCCCTGAAATTTGAGAGAGTTGGGGTTGTTCAGCATGGAGAAGAGAAAGCTCTGGGCAGACCTTATAGCAGCCTTTCAGTACTTAAAGGAGGCTTATAAGAAAGATGGGGACAGACTTTTTAGTAGGGCCTGTAGCGATAAGACAAGGGGTGCTGGTCTTAAGCTGAAAGAGGGGAGATTCAGACTAGATACAAGGAAGAAATTATCTATGATGAGGGTGGTGAGACGCTGGCCCAGGTTGCCCCGAGAGGTGGTGGATGCCCCATCCCTGGAAACCTTCAAGGCCAGGCTGGACGGGGCTGTGAGCACCCTGATCTGGTTGTAGATGTCCCTGCCCATGGCAGGGGTGGGACTGGATGGGCTTTAAAGGTCCCTTCCATCCCAGGGCATTCTGTGTGATTCTGTGTGACCTGCTCCGTGCCCCCCCCCCCAAGCCCTCCTCATGCACCCCAGGATCACCCCAGAGACACAGGGTTCCTTACAGCCCCCACCCTGTCACTGCCCTCAGAGACTGGCAGATCCCTGGTCCTCCCTGTCCCTCTGGTCACTCTTTGGGGACATTAATTATCCCCCCACCGCCACTGGCATGATGCAGGTCCTGCCTGCCAGCAAAGCTCTTTGCTTCATGCTGCCTTGGTGATGGATGAGCTGTGTTTCCCTCCACCCATGTGGAGCTGGAAGAAGCACAAGGGTTGTTCCCGTGCCTGTTGTAACCTGGAGGCGGTGGGACGGTGCGAGGGATGAATATGATCTGTCACAGAGAGGAGGTTGGATCCTGAAGCACAGCGAGGGGGTGCACAGAAAGGTTACCGCAGTCATCATCTTCTTTCTGCTTCATCTCTTCTTGCGGCTATATTCTGGGGAGTGACAGTGGCTGGAGGCTGTGGAGAGACTGGGAGGGTTATTGGTATGTTCCCAGGGTCTGAGTATCTGCTGTGCTCTTTGCATTTTGACCGTGGTGGCTCATTGCAGGTGCTGTGCTTGAAGACGCTAAAGCAGGTGTTGGCGCTCAGCAGGTGAGTGGTCTGAAACCAAACCCAGCAAGTAAAACACAGTAAAAGGGACTTCTGTTGAGGCTGTCAGAAAACATACATGACAAAAAAAAAGTACGTTTTGCCAAAGAAAGTCTTTTAATTGTGGAGGGAAGACTTTCAGCTGATGTCTGGGAGCTGAAAGGGCTGTAGGGTGCGAAGAAGATAAAGTCTCTTTGCTAAAAGGATCTGCCTGTGTCTGAGGGACTTGGGGTGTGAGTCTTTGTTCAAGGAGATTGGCCCAGTATGTTGTGTTTCCACAGGTGGGTGAAATCAGAAATTTAACGATTATCTTGCTTCCTACAGAGCGGCAACACCCAGAGAAAGCCATCTGTGTGCTGCAGGTAAGGCCTCTTACTAATCTGATGCAAGGCAAAACTTCATTTACTCAAAATAAATATTACACATCTTGGTGTTTGTGTCTTCCTTTCAGTTTTTTTTTTTTTAGCCAATTTTGGGCTGGTTAAAAAACCTGAGCAGGTGCTTTTCCACTTCCATAGCTTTTTTCTAAGCTTTTGTTCTGTTTCCCTGTTCTTGGCTGAGCAGGTACTCCTAGTCATGGTGTTACGCTGTGGAGTGACGCCAGCCAGGTACAATTTGCTATATTACTGTCCAGGAACAGACTTACACCCCTGTGAGGTCCCACTTTAACATTTATTGAGCTGGTGGAGTCCACTGTCGCAATTTAAATTAGAATTTTATTTTGATGTGGAGGCAAAGTATAACTGAGTGGCTTAGATCCTTGGTGTTCAGTTTCTCTTTGCTGTTCTGAGCTTCCTTTATTAAAATGAGGGTTATTGAGGGTTTCATTTTACCCTGGAGAAGGAAGTATAAATAAAAGCCAATGCCATTTTGATTTGGCTTCCTAGGACATGAATATTTGAACAGGCTTGGATTTAAAATTAAGCGGGGCTCAGATCCATCATAGCGGCATCACTGCTGTTGCATAAAAGGAGACAGATGTAACATTTCACCCGTGTCCTCACCATCCACTGGTGCTGACAAGTCTGTCTTTTTCTGTTTGTTTGCCTGAGAATTCACCTGGGAAATGAGTCACCTTTAATCTCTTCCTCCCTTATTTGTTGCTCACCGTAACCAGCTGAGAATTGTAACAGGCTTGCTGTGATGCACAGGCTGCCTGCGTGGGGCAGAGATCAGCCGAAGCCTTAGCCTGCCTTTGCCTCCTGTCAAAGAACCGAGGACAAATTCTTGCCCCCGGTGTGGATTTTGGGCTCTCGAAGCACCCGTGTACATTTGTTAAAAGAAGGGCTGTCTGCCGTTCAGCTGGAAACACGTTTGCTCTGCTTTGATTTTCAGGTGATGCACTCGTGAGTTGCCAGAGACATTACAAATCCCGTCCTACGCATGGTATTGGGAAGTTTAAATACCTGCTCCCGAAGGAGGTAGGCATAAGAACTCCCCTGCTGTGCTTGCTTTCAGCTGATCCATCTTTTTACAGTCTGATGTAAATGTTGGTGCTATTAATTCCATGGCTGATGAGCCATATTAAAAAGGAATAATGTAATGGTTTACTGCTACTTTTCTCGGTAGAGAGCGTTATGTCACGTGAAGTACCCACTCACAACACTGCATAAATACTTTCCTTTGTCCAGTACGTTCTTGTTTAAATTAATGAGTAGTTTTGGGAGGGAGGAATCTCTTCCTGATGCCGAATTTAACACCCCAACTTCAAATTATTGCAGAATGTTGTGAGCAGGTCTTATTTGCATTTAAACTTTTTACATTCCCTGAAATTTGGAAAGACGACAATTTTTGTGGAAGGAGGAAACAATAACTCATCTAGACATCTGCCTCGAAGGCAGGAACTGAAATAAAAAGCAGTTTGTTTTCTACTCCTTGGATTTTTCTGGAAGAAATTAATCATGGTATGCACGTATTTTCTATGTAACTTCTGTGATGCTGCCATCCAAGAACTGAACTGCTCAACTTGAGAACATCTGTTAAGATAATGTCATCCCAGTTTTGTCGTCGGGGAAAGGGAGCACAGATGGGCTGCGAGATGTTCGACATAGTTCAGCAAACCTTTGTCAGAGGAGAGTGCCCTAGCACGGTCTCCTGTGTGGGCAAGAGTTACTGTTTTTTCTTTCCAGCTTTGTTCAAAACAGATACACTTTCTATTTTTTCTTTCTTTTTTGGTTTTTTTTTTTTAAATACAGGCTCCAAAGAAGAGGAAGGATAAAGTACAGATGAAAGAGATAAATGTTGGAACCGAGTATGAGTATGGAGATGTCAACATCCAGATGACTTCCTATGATATGTGTCTCGTGGAGCATTTTGCTCAGTACGTGCATAAACTCTGCAACCGACTCTCCATTAGGGTGAATGAAAGGTATGAGGAACGCGGCTGTTTGTCATCCCTCGCAAGCGCATTGCGTTAGGCTCTGCGAGGCTCGTAGATGATGATACCTTGCAGACAAGGACGCAGACTAATCTCTCTGATAGATTGTCACGAGGGAATCGAAATCTGCTGTCATCTGCCTGGTGTTCTCTTTTTGTGTGTCTGTATGGTGTTGGATGCTTTATTCGTATAAGGCAGGCTGAAAGGGAGTTATTCAGGCACGGACTGAACAGATCTCAGGGAAAAAAATAGCTGTTACTTCTCATTCCTTTGAGAAAAAGGCTTAAGCCTGTGGGTGCTGAGCCCGGGAACGTAGGCTTAAGTATTGCTGACTCTTGCTGCTGTTTTTTCTTTACAGTGTTTTATCCAGGCTCTTTCCTCTGTGCATACATTGCGAAGTAAGCAAGCGGGACTGAATATACAAACTAGAATGAGCTTGGGAAACCTCTGAAGGTTGTGGGAGAGCCACCTGCTACTTTAGTAGTAGAGGGTGCTTCAGTTGCACACTAGATCTCCGAAGCAGGCGTACCCCTGATAGCAGCTTTGCAGGTTTTAATGAGTCTGAGGAATCTGATGCAGCTCCTCGGTGCCTGCAGTGCACCCAGGGAGCTGTAGTCACTGGAGAAGCACTGTGTTGCTCTAAGGAGGTAAAAACACTTAGCGGTGATTATCTGAAATGTGTATCTTAAATTTAAAGCTCTCCTTCAACTCTAAAGAAGTTAAAAGTTCTTTTCTCAGGCTGGTGTTTGTAGCTGAAACAGGTTACAGCAAACTGTACCTTTGAATATAAGCGCTGTTTCCTGCTCATGCCGATTAAATCTATCAAAAAATCGTTTTCTTTACGTTCATTCACGTTGCTGAACTGTCAGCCACGGATCTGAAATCCTGTGCCCACAGAGCAGTCGCTCGTAGTCTCTCTGTGATGCCTTTTGCACCAAACAGCACTAAAACCTGTGACACATTGGTGACTGATAGGTGTTTCTTTTGAGAAGACCACCCGGTGACGCTAAGAAATTACAGTTCTGTCAGCAGCAGTGCGCTGGAAAGCATTTGCGGAGAAATCCCACAGCCTGAGACTGTGGATAGCGCTTTTGGTGTAAAGCGTTACTGCCTCGTGTCATCCTTCTGCCCTCTGAGGTCGGACTTGGCATGCAGAGTTCAGTACATACAGAAAGAAGTGATTTTCCCTGTAAGAGCAAAATTGGTAGGGTAAGGCGTGGGCAGTAGGATGTAGCCTGTTGTTATTGATGCTGTGCAAATGGAGATGGGGAGGCTGAGGTCTCCGGAGTGTCGCTAACCGGAGAGCAGGATCTGATCCAGTGCCTGATCGTTCTCCTGTTCCATTCAGAGGTGAAAATAATGTCTTTGGAGCGGTGCGTTGCAGCAGTGGTTTTTAGCTCTGTTCCCGATGAGAACAGATAGACTGTTACAAAATAAGTCAGAACTGTTGCATTAAAGCTCTCCTTCAACTATAAAGAAGTTAAAAGTTCTCTTCTCAGGCTGGTGTTTGTAGCTGAAACAGGTTTTTGCTTGCAGTAGTGCTGCAAGCTTCACCCTTCTCTCTTTCCAGTAAAACACCCGGCTTCTGCCAGTGCTTGATTTGCAAGATACATTGTTTGCATAATTAATTTCTCATGAAAAGTTAATCTCCTTCCACATTCTCTGCTGCTGGAGGTTGATTCATTCCTGTAAAGTAGTGCAAATCTATCCTCCCTGTCCTAAGCACTGACCTGTGGTTCCTGCAGCTACGCGATGCCCACCAAAACCAACGAAGTGCTGTTCTTGGAAGAGCGAGGTTCCAAAATGCAGCTGGATGCAGTCCTCACTACCCATCAGAGGGTTGTCCAGGTACGAGCCGGCCTTTGCTGATAGCGCTGCCGCTCTTGTGCAGCACCTCCTGTCTCAGGCTCTCAAAACCCCTGAACAATTGGAGTTAAGCTCCTTGAACAGATGAAAGGCGTAATTTGTGCGTAAATTGAAGCACAAAGAAGTCTAATTAGATTTCTTGCTAAAGGCTACTCACAAAGTAGAAGCAGAGGAAGGGTTACTGGATTCTGCATTTCAGCCAGAAGATTTGTTACCTATTTTATGCAGGATACTTGATACGAGGGGTAGAAAAGTCACGTTTAAGGATGAATGATTGGACAAACTCAATGAAATTTAAAGATACTACTAATATCAGGGCCAGCTTCAAAAGTGTACAACTGATGGAGGTAAACAGGTATTTCTCCTAAGTGACTTTTTCCTATTTTATAGTGTGTTCCCTTGCTATATGCTAAACCTCTGCTGAACTACATTTTAAACCTAGAGGTAGACTTTTTCCACTGGGGAGAGCTGATGTGTAGTTAATGCTGGGGCTTGCAGATTTGCCGTGGCAGCCTTTGTATTAGAGTCTCACCTACGTTAAGATCTTCCTGCATGGTTAAGTCTCTTTACGTGCAGGAGAGCATGCAGGCAGGGACGGGAAGCACAGTGTTCATAGCGGAGAGCCGAAACGAGAGCTTTGGGCTGTGCTGTATGCGAGAGGTGTGCGCACGAAGGAGAGAGCGCTCCTCTACTGAAGCGGTTGACTACCACAGGCTCGGACTGAAATGGACTCTCTTTCTGTGCCGTTAGTATAACGAGTCCGTTCTGCGTGTGGTGTTCTGCTCCTGCAGCACTTTGATTTCTTCTTTCAGATCAGCGGATTGAGTTCAACGTTTGCTCCGATACTCTTGGAAATTATTCAGAGTAACCAGCCTGAAGGGGTCCATCTGTTAGTGAAAGAGGTATGTTTAATTTCACCAGTGCCTTTGCATTTAGAAAGCAGATATGATGTGTGATGTCCATTTGCTTTGAAAATACAAACCTGGTCCTGAGGCTGCTGCCTCCTCTGGACTTACGGATGCCCAGGATCTCCCAGAACCAGGCCCTCACTTGGTCTATGAAAAACCATTACCTCTAATTCTTGATGAGTGTTTCGTTTTCCATTTAGCCTCCTGTTATAAGTGCCACAGAAGGCACCTTCCCAGCCAATCCTGTAGATCTGTAGGAGACGGCAGGTTGCAAGTTGCCTTCCTTTGCTGCTGCAGATTCCCCACGACTCAGAAGGGAACGCTTTCCTTCAGCAGTGCTGTGGGAATCACCAGGAACTTCATGGAGCAGTTGGTAGCAAAAATGAGACTGGAAACCCAAATGCTGTGCCCTGTTTTGGTGGGATTTGCTCTGGGAGGGGTTCAGCTTGGTTTCTGCAGGAAGGCCCGACAGTTTTCTCGGCACCGAGGACTTCAGGACAGAGCTCCACTCACTGGTGGACCAGGCATAAGGAGATATTTCAACTTCTGTCATTTTACATTCAGACAGAAGAGTCCCAGGAAGCCCTTTTTGTTCAGGGACAAAAGATTTTTGTGCCTTGGAAGGGAAGGCAATGCAGTAAACTCAATTATGAAAACACAGTTGGCTTCTTAAGTGGCCTTTGAAGAATGTTTAGTTATCTCAGCTCTGCAAAACCAGAAGGAATACAGGAGAAGGTCTCTTGAGTCCAGTAATCTTCTCTGCTTTGGTCACAGTCCTGTCTCTGCCTTAGGGCTGCCATTTCTTTTTTTAATCTCGGCCGATGGCTTTGTCTCTGGAGGGAGAACTGTGACATTGTGCCATTTGCAAAGTCAATGCAGTCTGCTGCAGGAAGCCCAGGGGAGAGACCCAAGCTGGCTTCATGAGAGTGGCAGTGCGGAAGAAAGATGAAAGCTTTAGGATATTCTTGTGAAGTTCTGGAGAAAGTGGCAGGTCTCCTCAGGAAAGTAGCTGCTACGGTAATAGGCAGCGGCAGAGTTGGGGGTGTCCAGTTGACTTCTTGAGCACAATGCCACTGCTCGCTCTTCCAAAAGCAGTTAGCCAGCTGAGGAGGAGCCTCCAAGGCTGAATTTTAGAGCCCGGGCAGTGACCAAGCGTGTCCAAAAGCTTTCTGCCCTCTGTGTTTTACCCCCAGCCTGGAGGAGGCTTAGAGCTCGGGCTTGGGGAGGAGCGGCTGGGAGCTGCCCGGCGGGAAAGGGCCTGGGGGTGCTGGTC